ACCTCTTTCTCTCTCTTCCACTGAATATTTGAGTTCAGCGTGATTTTTGCAGGTACATTAACCGTATTTTTCACAGGTTGAAACTCAACTGTCTCCAAGTCTCCACAAAACTGTTCTTTCATGACACTGAAGTTTGTTGTTCCTTTCAATTTAATTCAGCTGCAAACATTATTAATGTAGCATTTGACAATGGTAAATATATTGCAGATACTGAAGATAAAAAAAGAATTGGGCAGATAATGACATTTACAGCATAAGGATTTTATGGGAAGGGATTTCCTGTTCTTAGGTTACCCACAATTCCCAGTTCAAGGCTGCCCTGACAGCATGGACTTGAATGCACATCTCACATCTGATGATACCTGGCTCCTTAACAATGCATTAAAGGAAGCGTGTGTAACCCCAATTCAATTAGCATAGTATCTCTTTCTTTTTTTCTTTTTTTAAACCAGAAATTTCATTCTAGTACTGAAGAAAATCTGATTTACTGTTCAGAATGCATTTTTCTCACCTGAAGACACCTGGCAAATGAATAAATTAAGCTTTGAAAAGAGCCAGCAGCAAGACTTTTAATCAAAGGCAAATGAATAACGTTAAGTGTATTTTGGCTCATACTCCAGGATTACAAATTGCTTGGATGAGCATCTTTCTCTAGTCTCCCAAGTTATGTCTCAGCAGGCACTTGGTCAGGGCACTGTCTGGAAGTAAGAGCAAATTGTTCAAATGGAAAATACAAGATTGTGACAATAAATGTTCAAACGGAAGATAAATATTGAACTATTTTAATTCTCAGTAAATGGCATAAAACTTAAGCACAGACGTAGTGTGTCAGATTAAAGTTCAGCTAGTCTCATGTTCTGTTTCTGACAGCACATGATAGCAGATTCCTTAGGAAAGTTTCTAAGAACAGGACAAACCAGAAACACTGTATTGGTATTAAACAACCCAAAAGTAATTTTTCTGCTGAAAATTTATCCAATTGCTTTTTGAACAGCAATAATGTTTAGTACAAGTCCTATGATGAGGCATAGCTCACCAACAAGGCACGTGCAGTGCCATCCCCTCTGGTTCTTTTGAGCGACCTCCCTTTTTGTTGCATTTGACACCTGCCAGCCCTTCCATGGTGGAGACAGTCAACATTTCCTTTTCTGTTGCCTCCTGTCTGTTCTGGGTTTTCTAGACCTCCTCAAAAGTACAGAAATAGTTTCCCTAATTATGCTATTCTGGTGCAACAGACAATATTTTTTCAAAATTTAATACCATAAATGTCACGTTCCCCTGCTACATACTGTTGATTCACTGTTTCATAAACTGGAGCATCAACAGGGACAAATTAGCTCGAGCTTTTGACACAAACCAGTTTCCCAAACAACTTGTTTGAACAGAAAGGAAAAAACATCAACTCTTGCTTTTAATCTTTGGATGGATGCAAAAATCTACCAAACTTTTGCACAAGGCTCTTCCTATCTCTAGTTTCTAGGTTTTCCTTTTGCCAGGATAAGTAGTTTCCCTGGAGTTTGGCACATAGCCTGCCACATGTTTGTGGCACTAATATTGCTACCCAGGAGACCCCTACCATGAAACAGAAAGAAAAGCACAAGAGAAAAATTAGCAGAGGATCCTGGTATTAGACGACTTGGTAATATTTTCCTTAACTGTAACCTTAGCAGAGCTGAGCACCATATAATGTTAGGCAGCTCTCTCCTCTTGTATCCATCAACGTTAAATATTTTAGGCTTTCTGGATTCACACACTCCTGCTATCCTGCAAATATGAAACAAAGCAGCCACCTCTGCAGTTCTGTGATGTGAACTCACTTTTCCCTGAAGGAATTAAATGCTTTGAAAAGTAATACACCCAGTTGTGCATCTTTCCCTGGAATAAACACCTGCAACCTGGTTTCAAACCCTACCAAACAATATTATTAAGGATGACAGTTCTACCACAGCTCAGAGACCTGAGGCTCTGGTTGAAGATGGTTATCAAAAAAAAAAAAAAAAAAAAGATGGGGTGGAGGGTTAGTGACTCCACTTAAAAGAAATGTTGCATCACTCTGGTCATCAGCACCAGGGCGTACACCTTTTAATCTGGCAGCTCTTTGATGGTGTAATGCAGACATGCGCCTAGGAGCTGTAACCAGTGGGCAGCTAAGTGATGACAGGGTGATGGTCAGGAGAGAAAACAGCACTTGGAAGAGCAATAGGGGAACAGGAAGGACTGTGGGCAGGGGACTAGGGAAGTCAGCTGTGCCAAACATTGGTGATTCTGCTGTCATCCCTCACCAGCACTTGGCCCGGGATCCACTTCAGCTCTTTCCCCATAACCTGCAAATTTCTCCACTGCCAGAGGTCAGCCAGTCCAGGAGCTGGGGGTCTGCAACCCTGGACAAGTACTGGGAGAATGATCTCTGTGAGTGGAGTTGTTCTCCATCCCAGAAGCAGTCCCAAACTTCCCAAGGGAAGATTTCCTAAGTTTCTGTTTGCCTTCCACCATCAGCTCTCTTCAAATCTTTATGGCAATACATGGGTGTAAATTGGTGCTGTAGATTTCCAGACTTCTGGCACTAGCCCAGAAAAAGAGGGTTTGGCTGCTTGACCTGTGTGGACTAATCCATGCAGGAGACTACAAACACCACGTTGGCTGCACTGCTCAGGAGTAGCAAAACTGTTGTGCAAGACTGTCTGGAAACTCAGTCTCCTGAAGGGAGAGCTGGGGGTCTTCTGCCCTTCAGCCAAGTTTTTAGTAGACTCTTCAAAATCAAATGCACGTCTTTGTACTCTGCCTGATAGGGGTCTGGTGGATAGAGTCCCTGAGTAGCTGAAATAGGCAGTAAATTACCAGTTCTTTCCACCTTGTGCCACTCCTGAGTCCTGCCCAGTCACAGGGAAGCTATCCATCAACAGTATTGAGTACAGCTGCAGTCTCAATGGACGTAATGTTCCAGCCCTTGAGCACAAGTAACTACACGCATCTTATCATTAAGCTTCTTCAGTGAGTGGCAAGGTGATAAGGAGTGGGCAAAGGCAGTGAGAGACACCATCTCTAGCAGGGTTAGTGGAGAAGAGCGGGTGTGGGAGGGTGGGGTTGAGGACAAGTGCAGATAAAGCTGGAAAGGAGGCTGAGCATAAGTGTGTAGGCCCTGGAACAGTATTTGATATGCTGTATGGAGTAACAGGCTGGATTATTTATGACAGCTATTGCTTTTGTAAAACCCCTTACTGTCCTGATTTCCATTCCAGCCCAGCAAGCATGCAGAAACTGGGTTGCGCCGGAGCCGACCACTGCCAAAGCTACAAGGTATGCCATGATCTTGTCCAGCTCAGCCTGATTTTCAGTAGTTCTCACTTCTTTTTAGTAACATTCTCCTCCATTTTAAATTCAGGAAATTCAGATGCACTGCAATGATTTAATTGCAAATAGTTTATATTCCAACATAAAAGCACTTATTGTCTTCATGCAAATTCAACCCAAAGTTTATGGCAGTGTTTACAGACAGCTCTGCTCAACTCCAGCGCTTGAATCCTTTCCAAAAGTGATTTGCATTCAAGAATACTACAGCACTTTGCTTTAACAAAGCTACAGCTGAACTTGGCTATCACCTCCAGCTGTATGCTTAAACTGTCTCGGTCATGAGTTGAATCAGTGCCAGCGAGCAGCTATGTTAAGTAATAGATGTTTTAGAATTCCTGCATCAAGTTGTCATTTATGTCTTTTCTTACACTGAGTTACTTCCAGTGTGCCCTCCATAGTTACTGTGTTCTTTTCATGGTCTGGAGCTTCAAAGAACAAATAAATCAGATCTTCCAAGCTCCCTCCTGAAATATCACTGGTTGTTGCTTTCAGCTCAGCACTGATTCCTCTACTAATACTTGTGCAGAGAAGGGTTAGAGGAGGCAGATGCCTGATATGATGAAAGGATGCAAGCTGTGGGAAACCAAAAGGAAAGGTGAATCCTGACATAAAGGGGTAGGTGGGAGTAGGAACTGAAACTGGGAAAGGAGAATTGGAAAGAGATCGAATGGAGAGCAGGAAGTATGGTATGGGTTGTAATGAAGGAAGAAAAGGGCCCAGGGAAGATGGGGAACATCTGAGTGTTCAGATAGCCCCTAGAGGCTGCTTTCCAAAGTCTCTGCATTCCTCTGCTGCAAAATTAGCAGTGAAACCCACTGGCAAAGTGAATATCCCGTCCCATATTTATGCCTCATCCAAGAGGGATTGATAATGGGCACAATTCTACACCACAGAAAGCTCATTTTAAAAAAACAAACCAAACAACCGAACAACAAACCACCTGGCAATACATTATAACAATGGTCAGGCTCCCAAGTCACACATTCGCATTGCTAGTAAACACCATCTTTACGTTTCTTTCCTCAACTTTAAATTGACTCTCTTTATCTTATACATGGGAGATACTTATATCAAATTCAGACATTAATGCACTCGCATTGTAACAAGTTTCCTGGAGTTTGGGATGTTGTTTTTTTGATTTTTGGTGTTTTGGGTTTTTTTTGCAACCTGTCAACAAATTAAAGTGTCTAAGTTCAGGACATCAAAACCACAGTAGGGCTTTAAAAGTGTGTTTTCCAGAGTCAAATTACTTGAGGTCATCAAACCAGTCACAGAAATGACACCTACTCGGCTCTTGCTGAGATCCTGTGTTGAATTTTGCTGAGGTTTGCTCAGGAGTGAACATCATGAAGATTCTGCTTGGCTAGGACAGGGAGACACAGCATGTTGGCTTCAGCTGGGAGCCATAGTGTCTTGCTTCAAGTGCTCTCCAAGAGGAGAAAATGGTTAAGATCCTTGTGAGAATACCTGGGACTTTCACAAGGACCAGACCAAAAGTAGTCTGGACCTTGGCTTGCGTCCACTTTCGGAACACCCCTGAGACAGACTAACATCAATATCCTGGCTAGTAGAAGAAATTTTATACATTTGAGAGGAAATTCACTGAAGTAAAGGTGGCTGTCTCAAGCTGGTAAGGGACGTGCTGCAGCCTAGCGTGGAATAGCACAAACCCTGTATGGGTGGGGCTGCAGTGTACCCCCAAAAATGGGCTCTGTGTTGATTTTCGTCACCCCCTCAGGCAGCTGGAATGTGAAGGCACGCAGCAGGTTGGCAAAGAAAATGAAGAGCTCAGTCCTCGCTAGATGCTCCCCCAAACACACACGGTGCCCTGCAGAAGGAAGAGAGGAAGGACAGTGAGTATCTAGGAATTTTTTAGTTTCATAATTACTTTGTTCACTCTTTTTATAAGCGGAATGTATTTTTGTTCAAGGCCAGGATCATGAAAGCCACAAAACTAAAACTTCATGAATTTTTTCTCAGAAAGATCCCATCCAATGTCATAGGGCAGGAAACACCAAATGAAAATCTCAATGAAAATCACCGAGGTCCGACTATCAATACTTTCTTGACCTTGCTTGCCCTGGCAGAAAATTATTTTCTTTTCACAGGAGATGTTGAGCTTCAAGGACATACACAAAGAATCTGCCAGCTGTTTGCACATGCTTTCTTAGTGAGTTAAAGTCAGCAGATCAAAATTACTTAGCAATGGCATTTGCAATTGAACAAAGGCTTGGTCGCTTTTACAGGCAAAGCAAGAGGCCTAAAGTTAGTTTCCAAGGGTTCCTTATTGAAACCAATGGCATGAGCGGGACAAGCGAATAACACATTCGCATTTCCAGATTAGCAGACAAATGAAAGAAAAGGAACTTTACTGTTAAGTGTGATCTCTAACCACGCATTGTTATCTTATTTCCTTCTGCTGCAACTGGATTTTCAGTTCTGTAAACAAGAACTTAATCCTTTGTTTACGAGGATGTATTCTGCTTTTCTTTCAACTTTTTCCTTTAAAAGGGTTTGCAAGTAACTCCAGTACACACAAGACACATTGCTTCTCAGGAAAAAAAAACCAAAACAAAACAACACATAAAGAATGCTACAGACAAAACTTGTGGATGACTGCAGCATGCAATAAGCCTAGGAGGTTTGGGAGTTCAAGTGGGATTCCTACTGCAGTGTCCTAACAACAGTTTGGGATCTGAGAGCACAGAAGTATCTCATTTGGCAGATACAAGCCAGTACTGTCCTTTAAAAGCAGTGAAGAGAAGAGATAGAAGATGTTTTCTGAAGAAATACCATGTCTCTCACTTCTATGTTCTTCATCTAATCTGTTGGGTTGGTTCAAACTGCCAGGGCGTTTACCTGCTGAGAACGGTAAGAAGGCTTCTCGAGGCATAAAGTTTCCTTCTTTATCCAGAAAATGGCCAGGGTTGAACTGCCGAGGTGTCTCCCATTGCTCAGGGTCATACAGAACAGATGCTATATTTGGCAAAACAATGGTACCCTGCAAGGAAGAAACTGTTGATTCAGTTCCAGCTACTAGCCTCTCACCCATCAGTTTCTGCCTGGCAGATAAAACTGCTGCTTGTTGCCATTTTTTGTGATGAGCAAATATGATGTGGCTAGAAGACCATTTTCTTAGAAAATTCCAGTTTGTGATCATTTTCTGAGTTGGAAATTATCGGTTCTGAGCCCTGCAGCTACGTCAGTGGGTGTTAACAGCATTAGTGATGTTGGTACAACTCCATTGTGACCACTTTTACTACTAATCTTAACACTACTAGGAGGACTCTGTTGTTGATATTCAGGTCCCAGCATTGGAAACCTCCTTTTGGGCTTCAGAGAGAGAGAAATGCATCCAGAAATAACTGCAATACTGCATTGACAACAACCTCTGAGCCCTTTTAGCAGCAGTACTTCAGGCTTTTTCTTTACTGGTTGTTCCCAGTAAACCAGTTCGTGTGCCTTACCTACCTGGCTGTCAGAAGCAGACAAAACAGAATGAAACTTTCACCACAAAATTAGTTAGGTGGGGCCAGTCCCAGATGCCGCTAATGGTACTGGCCTCTCCCATCTCTCTTGCAATAAAAGCAACCAATTCCTGTTTCTTGCTAGTGTTTTACAGTGAGAACTGGCACCCAGTATGGGTTATGTCACTCTAAAAAATGCCTTACTGGCTGTGAACACATGTGTTAGGCAGTATTTAGGAGCAACTCCCTCACTGTCAGCTGTAGCTGACAGTCTCTGCTGTTACAGATTCAGGCAGGTCCCTTAGCTCATAGAGTCAGTGGAGCTATGAACCATCCTCTCACAAGTCTTCCTCTGTCCCAGGAGTGCTGGCAGTGCCAAATTGGGCAGGGATGTCTTAACCAGTGCTTTGGCAAAACAGCTTCTCCTCTCCGTCCATCCCCAGTCAAGTAGAGCTGGTCTCTGCAGTTGTGCTGTTTATCAGGAGGGCAGGAGCTCAAGGCTTCTGTGGCAGGGGCAGGGGTCTTATCAGCTCTCTGAGCATCAACACACTGAGTGAGAGACTTATTTCATTCCTGGAGCCACAAATAGTAACCCTTCCCCAGGCACCACGTTCCAGGGTTACAGGGAGAATAGTTTATAGATCGAAAATGGATTACAAAACAGGAATAAACGCTAAGTATATCTCTGCTGAAGAAAGAACAGAGGCTGAAAATGAGTCTGTACCTTTTTGACAGGGAATCCTAGTAATATTGTGTCCCTCACACACACTCTGGGCATGCCAACTGAGATAATATTGCTGAAGCGCTGAACCTCGTGAACCACAGCATTTGTGTAGGGCAGCTCTTTCCGATCCTCATAGCAAATTAACTGTGAAGGACCCAAAACAGCATCCAGCTCCTTCTGCACTTTCTCTGTGGAGAAATATTCACCGTGTCAGATGGGAAACATGCATAAAATATTGTAACTGGTCTCTTTTCTTAGAGCAACAGGAAAATGTATTATTTCAACATAGTACATTAAGTCTATAATCTATGATTTAATAGCTGAGTTTAAAATATGAAAATAAAAATAAACAGGAAAAGAAAACAACCAACAGTGTAGGAATCATAAGCAAGGACTATACTGTACTTATTCCAGCTCTGACAGAATGCTTGGTGGGTGTGGTGTGGGTCACTTAGCTCCAGGATTTGAAGTTATTTAGGGATTGCTTCATTTACTTTATCTCAAAATCTAAATCTCATTTACAAAATTGACATAAATGCCTCAGATATTAACTCCCAGTGCAAGGGATGAATTGAGCAGAGTTGGTCCAAGTATGGCAACATACTGTATGAACAAACAACACCTGAATCACCCTAAAACCTTGGATGTAAATATGCACTCAATGGCCCAGCCTTTTCAGCCTCCAACTGAGGCTGCAGGAATACAGGTATCTCCCTTGCTTTCAGTGCTAAAGCACAGCAGATGGAAGAGCGACAAGCCCCAGAAGTACCCAAGTCCTCCTTAAACCCTGGCCATACCCTTTGTCTTCCTGATATAGATGTGGATGAGGAAACTCAGCCTGGATCTACAGAGACAATCATGGAATTGGTGTTAATTAGATAAGCAATCTCTTTTTCAATATTAACTCAGACAGGGACAGTTTGTGTGTACTGCCAGCAGTTCTTGCCTGAAACCACCACCTCTACATGTCAGGCAGCCAGAATCCTCCCCTTAAACTTCTTTTTCTGTTTCTACATTCTTTCCATCCCTTGCAGATGTTCTATATTCATGTTTTGGTTTCTCCTAAGGTTTGTGTGCTGCTTTGTGAACAAACTGCAACAAACATTACTGGTTATTTAAAGACTAGATGCTAACACCATTGGCTGGTTAGACACAGAATATGCTCTACTGAAACCTTGAGGCCACCGCTGAGCAACACATATTCCATGGAGGCCCAGTGCCTAGCCTTGTGCATGAAACACTCAGCAGAGACAGGAACGAGTCACTGCATTCTTCAAGGAAGTAGATGGATTTGCACTGTGCAAATTATCTTGCATCTTTCTACCTGTTTCCTGACAAGAAAGATACAGGAAGAGGCATCCGTCTCTACCAGGACCATGGGCCTTCCTTAGGGCAACCTGCAGCCCTTCATAAGCTGCCAAGATCTGTCCAGCTGGTCTGTCCAGTAAGGGATCCAGTGGGTTGTTTAGGAGTATTAGTGTGCTCAGCAAGATGTGTTGTGCCAGGAGGGGAAGAGAATGTAGGCTGACTGTGTGGAAAACACAGCAAAGCTGTGTTAGCACTCCTCATACCTGAATGATGTCTGGTGCAGACAGGACTCTCATTAGAGCTCTGATCTCTGTTCCTGCTGCCATCAGTCAGCCTGCAAACTCTCCACACAGAGCACCTCACTGACTTGTCACTGCAAAGAGCTAACTTTTGTCTCACAGCAAGTGCCTTCAACCGCCTGGTTTGGTCAAGTCATGGGATGGGCCTCCGATTTTTCCCTCTGCTGCTATTCTTTATGTTTTCAGAGAGTGACAGCTAGGCTCAACTAGTGGCTTTTGTGCCTGCAACTTCTTATATTCAGCCATCATTAACATTTGTAGTACCCACAGGATTTCATAGCAAAAAAACCTCTCACCTTGGATGTCTGGATTCGATACCATGAAGAGCAGTCCCCAGTGCAATGTTGTGCTTGAGGTCTCTGATCCACCAAGAAAAAGATCATTTATAACATATACCAAATTTTCTTCATCATATTTGGCTTTGGCCCCATCTTTAGACTGTAGATGATAAAAAGTTGAAGTTAAAGCATAAAAGTTAGGTCATCCAGTGTGCCTCCTGTGCAAGAGCCCTTATTTCCACAGCTGGCATGTGCACAAAGAATATTCAAAATCACAGTTTTTGATGAGTACTAAGAGATTAATAGTTTTCCAAGTGGACTTGGTAAGTCTGCATTGCTCTTTTGCATGAGGTGGAATATTCTTTCATTAAAAAACAGCAATTTTATGCCCGTTAACTCAATCACAAAAACTTTAAAGCACACTACAAGTTTCACAGTTAGCCTAGAGTGTAATTCTAAATAAGTGCCCCACAATGTGTCTCTGATTAGGCCTTGGTCTCTCCAGTATGCTAGCAAATATTGCTAGCAAATACCAAAGGAAAACCTCTCTGAATAAAAGGTTCTCAACAGAACATCTTGAGAGTAATTTCTTCTCTCAGTTCAGGATAGATGTGGACTGGTGGGAGAGAGGTACCCAAGTATTTTTGTCTTATAATAAGGGAGTAAAATATAAAAACAGTTAGAGAAAATACATTAGGGAAAAATATTTTAAAATAAACAGATTGCAATAACTTGCACCCCTGACACCAGAGAAAGCTGCATCTTTGCCTCTAAAATGATGATTTTAGTAAATCTTTTCATACTCATTCAGATATAATGCACGAAAGGATGCATCAGCTCCTTCCAGAGCCCATAATCCAACACTGTGAGGACACAGCAGCCCGACTAGCTGAGAGCTTATGACCAGAGGTAGAAGCTACATAAACTTCATCTACCCTAGGAAAGAGATGCTTCTTTTAGCTCCTGAAAATATCCCAAAATAACAAAGTTTGAAGCAGAAACACTGGTGCTTCTAGCAGAGCCTCTCTGGCTCATGAGTAGCTTCCTGCTATGGAAAAAAATAGCAGGGACAGGGAAGAAGATTAACAATTTATTATGTGAAATTGTCTCCCAGGGTCTCTAATTTGAATATAGGTGCCAAGCCAACCATGTCCCAAACTGCGGGGAAATTAGAGGTAACACAGGCTTGGGACCTCCAAATTTAGGACCTACTGATGACAGCGTCCATCTGCCAAGAAAGCTGACAGGTGTGATGCATAAAATACCCATTCCAAGGTTGGTCAAACAATTAAGTAGGCTGGGATTGCTGAGGTGCAACTGCTGAAAGGGACTGGGCGGGACATGGAAGGACTACTCTCTCTTTGATGTTGCAGGAATGATACTGAGGGATTTCAGGATAACCTGGGAATCCTTTTAAGAGTGGAGAATCTCCTCAGACCAGGACGTAAAGAGAGTTTCCAGTAAAAGGAAGATCCTCCACAAACGGTTCCCTCCCCAGGGAGGAACCACACAGCTGTGTAGGACAGTCAGTGTTAGGACACACGCTGAAACACAAAGAAGAATGTCAGCTGTTTCATGGTAATTATCTGTGCATGCATATTTAATCCTGTTGTAAACATGAGGTACCCTGCTGTAGAAGATGAGATGGTCTACCAAAGTTACATAACCTACAGGCAGAAACCTGTCTCATATTTACTACAGGACTGAAGTACACACATGGGTATTTATGGAAAGCAGGTGATAGCTCATGAGTTCACACCCTAACATACTTTGTGGTAATTCATTCATGTAACCAAAACATAAAACTGGACGCCTTTCTGGGAGCCACAAGTTTATAAGTCCCAAGCTACTGTATTCACATTTAGAATCCTATGAAATGTAAGAAACTATGGTAGAAGGGGCCAGATTTAATGGTCTGTTTGGCCTTATACTCCATAAATATGTGATCAGGCAGAACACTTACTTTCTCCATCTCAGCCAGGTAAAAGTCAATGAAATCCTGTGGTTCATCTGGTATCCCTCTCTCCACATGTCTTCTGATCTCCTTCCTTGCAAAAGAGCTCAGAAAATCATAGCAAGATAACGCTTTCTGATGAGGACCAGGGAGACGGCACATCAGCCAAGGTAAAATTTCATACAGCTGTGGGAGCGACATACAAGAGGTAGTGTGAATTATCTGTTAGTAACAAAGCTGGTTTTAGAAACACCAAAAGGCTGAATTGTCCTTTCTGGAAATGTTGATAGTGGAACAAACAAATTAGCATTCCTTTGAGTAGATTTTTGCCATCATGTGGGAAACTTCACTAGTAATTTTGACACACTTCTGGGGGTCAAGGCAGTACTGACAACACTCTGCTCATGCCAGTAAGTTTACTTGACTAATGCAGAGCACTAGAAGATATTATACCTGCACAGTTGTAGACTCTAGCTCCCCCACACTCAAAATGTAAGGACATCTTTTCCGGATACTATGTGGCTACTAAGATTAACAAGCCTGCAGCCTCAAGTAACTGGTGGAATTTGTGGAGCTCACAGAAGGAAAGTGTAGACTGGGTGTCACTCCAAGACCTAATTTAGTTTTCCCCGTAGAGTTCTCGTGACTGCTACAGGACCAATAATTGTTCTGATGGTTAGAAATATTACGTCTTCAGTCTGCTGAGTATATTTATACACACATCTGTCAACTCAAAGTATTGTTCTCTAGCTTGGACAGCTCTCTCTTTGCAGCATCTGCCATTCTACGCTGCCAAGCAAAGAGCATTTCTGTCTTTTCTTTGTTCTTTCAGACCTAACAAATTAAGTCTGTCTAATTTTAAGTGATAGTTTGTAGGTCATCCCATTAACATTTCTCTACGTTTGCTTTCAGACTCACAACATAAGGTGTCCAAGACCCTAGAATAGGTCCCACAGATTATTACACTCCAGAACATAATTTAACACTTCTCTGAATCTAAAGGGAAAATAGTGCTGTCAACACTCTAAGATTCTGTATGCGTTTTTCATCCTGTTATCTGATAGTTTACACTGGTGCCTTTCCTCTTAACCTTTGCACTGAAATGTTCTAAGCTTATAGCAGATATTTATCTCATTAATTCCTAATATGTTTCATAATTTAATTTTGTGCTATTACAGTTTGGTCCGTTCTCATAACTCAAATCCACAGTGCTTACAAACTCTTGCAGCAGGATATCCTGAACTTCCTCTGTATTGTTAAAGTCTCCTGGCTTTGATCATCCACAAATTTCATCTATTTTTCTATTTTCTACTATGGGAAAGTTGTATAGTGCTACCCTCATATGATTGATTTCTTGAAAAGGTATACTACCACATCAGCATTTTAGTTTGCCTTTTCATATAACCCTCAAATGTCAATGGAATTTGCTATGCCATCCACAGTCCCCATTACACCCAGCTTGTCCCTCTTTAAGGGTCTAAACCACAACACCTAATTCATGGGGAAAACCTGAAGTATACTTCAAGACACTTCAAGTGCAAAGTTGGCCTTTATGGGGTGTTGTGGGAGTCAAAAAAAGTGTCCGACAGAACTTGAGTAGGCTGTCAGAGAATGTATGTATTGTTTTTGTAGTGTGTGAATTGCAAGCTATAATGAAGTAATGGAAAGATGCATAATGAATATTTTATTATTTGTGAGGGAGGAAAAAAAAAAAAGAAAATTGTCAACATACAAGTAAGTAGTAAAAAGCAGAGCAGTGAACTCGATACCCATCTTTGGAGAAGAGAAGTAAATCGTGGTGGGAGGAGCAGCACTGCAGAGTTCATATTTATTACAAACTCCAGTCTCAAATTAAGTTTAAACATTTCTGTTAACAGTCTCAGAAATGCTGAGAGACTTAAAAGCCAGGAATCAACAGGGAGAAATCCCCTAAACTTGCAAAGAAACAAGAGAGTTCTTAAAAATGGCCTGAAAACAAAGGAGGCAGTAATAAGGTCCCCAAGGACACCTCTCAGCTCCCAGTTACATTTGCCAGTTGCTCTGTATTTAGTGAAGACTCATTTTCTACCTATTTCAGAAAAAAAATACCATAGTACTTACTCACCCGATGAACAAAGCTGCCTGCAAATCTGAATAGATTCTCCGTGGCACTGATCAGTTCGTGGAAGGTTTTGTCCTCATTAGAGAAGTGATATCCAAAAACCAGAGCACAAATCACATTTGAAATAGAATGGAAAAGAGGGAAAGAAGGATCCACAGGTCTTCCTGCAAACACATTAACTGATATTCACTCTCAATGTTTTCTTCAGGTGTTCCTTATACAGATAGGACAAGATGTTATTACAGATTATATAAAATGCTCCCTTTATCATCTTTATTCATGCTGGGGCATGAATGGGAATAGAGATGTGGCATTAGTGAAAATAAAACAGTCTTAGAGCAAAGGACACTGTTAAACTGTTTCCTCATAACTCTAAAATAATCTCATAGCCCTCTCTGTGAAATAACATTGTACAACTAAGATCCCTTAGAGGTTATCATACCAAATCCGCTGTCCTCAGTTGTGTGGAAGACAAGTCAGAATGTGAGAAGGAAGAAAAGTCACTGGAGATGAACTAAGAGAAGACAGTGACAGACATGCTCAAAAATGTGAAAAACTACTTAGGACAAAAGACTGAAGGATCTTGGGAAGGTTTAAGAAGCAGAATAGATGGATAGGAACTTCAAAGTATGCATAATAAAATTATTACAGTCTCAGCTGTGAACAGTAGATCATCAAATCTCTGTCTGTTGATTTTTTTGGAGATTATGAGACAGATATCCACCAAAAATGATTTGGATAGAGATGATCCTGGCTTGGACTGTAGGATGAACCTGATAATCCACTGAAGTTCCCTCCCACCTCCTACTTTCTTTGATTCTCTTGCCAATAGTTGCTTAGCCAGACGGACACTAAAATATCCAGTTTACCTCATGGCACCTAATGTCATTGAAATTTAGAGACTTAGAGAAATGACTAAGCCCTGTAATACTCTTTAGTTTCCTATTGTAGGCAGTCTAAGAATGGCTTGGCTCTGCAGTTCAGTGACATCGTATCATTATACAATCATATCACAGACAAATTATAAGCCCATGGAGGCAGGATTTCAGAAGTTCCCAACTTCATTAGGTTTATGAACAGCTTTTTAAGAAAGAGATTCCCACTTGTGATACTATGCTCTATCTGCTCTTTGGGCTTTGGTAAGGTTGGATACACCATGCTGGACCTACCCCGACCCTAGGAAGGGGTAGGTAAGTTTGCATACTGAAGATATGGATCCAGGACTGAAAAGTGTCTGGTTTCTTAGCAGATAGATACCTTTTTGGTTCACAAAGAACTCCACCAGGTGAGCAGCCTCCTCTTGCACTCGATACTCCAGGCCTTTTTTCCCCATTCCCAGACTGCGTAGAGTCATTATACCAAAGCGTCTCTGCTGCTTCCAGGAGCGACCACTTGCCAGTATAATACCTGAGGGTATTCTCTGGCATGTTAATATTTGCCATAGACATGAACAATTAATTTAAAAATATGTTATAAAATACATGGAGTAAATCAGGGAATACACTGTGATACAAGTATCTTTAGGTAAAATTATCAGTAACCAGAAATCATAGCCAAAACACACCCAAACTATAACTAGACCACATGTTCTTAATACTGATTGTAGTTAATCTTTGAAAAGAGCAATCTAAGGATTTGTTGACTGCTCCATTTCTTGACATCTTAAAAAAATACCTTAAGATGCCTTTTTAGAAGTTCTGCTTTAGCCATACTCGAGTGATCATGCTCAAGACAGGAATAACTGGATGAATTTCTACAGAGTCGTGTCCAGGGTTAGGGTATGGTTGTAGACATATAGATCAGCTAACATGGTGCTTGTAGGCTGATGTGATGAAGGTGAAGGACAAGTGACATTTGGGCCCAGTTTTTCCTCTGGATGGGAGACCACTCCACTGATTGTTAAATTGCACTAATGGTTACCTGAAGAGCCCGGAACTGCTGCTGTGATGGTGATGCTTTACATAGCTTTAAAAAAAAAATATCTGTGTTTGATTTGGTATAGCAAATGCAAGGGACAAGAAAAAAAAGACTGCAAACTGCTGAAATACATCAAAGAGAAGTGGATTTTCATGTGTTGGAGTGACTCTCACAAACAAAAGGTATCCACCGAATGTTTAGAGTGGCTGCAAACACAGCAAGGAGACTTTTGAAGGAGGGTATCATAGGCCCCTTGTTCATGATGGAAGGTGTTTGGCAACCATAATATATACGATTACCAAATATATAAACAAGCTTTGCATTCATGTAATGTACAGTAAAACCACGTGCAGCAAATTGGATTATTCTGTGAGGAGGGAAGATTGCCAAGTTCTGTGCTGGGATCACATACATCTTTAACACAGCAAAAAGGTCACCTAGAAACAACCTGATTTGGAGTGTTTCCCAGGCTTGGGAAAGCTTGAGACAAAAGGCATCACAGCAAATAGTAAGTTATTCTCAAGAGCTAATGGAGGACTTGGACAGTATCTGATGGAAGAGCATTCTGAACAGGAGGGTAGAGGGTCAACAAGGCAGAATAGTTTGCCAAGTCAACGTTCCTGTGCACAATTTATGGCAGAAAAACCTCACCTTTTCCTTTGGCCATTGCTCTGAAGAAAGGCGATACCATCCGCCCAGAAACGTCTTCAGGGTACGTAGTCATACCATCCTTCACTGCATGATATCCATTCAGTATGATCACTGGCGTCCACCCGAACCACAAAGTATATATGTTACCATGAGTTTTTGCTAGCTGTAAGTGGAAAAGGTGCCAGAAAAGAACAGATGAAACCCCATACATCTCAAACAGACACTGCACCTGCTATTCACTGGCCCAATGACTAGTTTTGTGCTGGGAACCTCATCCCTGTGCACATAATTATAGCTAGAAGCAGAAAGCAAACATTGTTTTTCTGAGAATGAGGCTTTCAGCAGCCAATTTTATTTACCCCCGGGGAAGCAATTTTCTTTTCAAAGCACAGGCTGCAGCAACACTGCAGCAAAAGAAAGAAAACTTTGTATTTTATGGTGCATCACATCCAACTGCAACATTTGTACGTTGTTAATTGAACAGCCACACTCTGCACCTCTCTGGGGCTCTGTGCCTCCAGCTAGCCCTTCCTTTGCAAATGGACACCAACCGATTAAACCTGCTCCATCCATGTGCTCCAGGAGAGGAGTTGGAGCCAGAAATTAGTCAACAGTCATGAAGTGCCAGTGGGCTGCAGCTGAGTCCAGGGTTTCCTCACAGTACTGAGGAGAGCACTGACCGCTGGAGACAGCTGGGGGTATCCAAGAAGGGTCAGGTGTATGACAGAGGAAAGTCAATCATTTGTGGGAAAATCTTTGTCCAAGAATAGCACTCTGCTCTAACACACCCACAATGATACAAATGAGGTGGTTGACCACCAGAATTACATCCATTTGATCACACTAGTCACTCGCTTCTCCTTATATTTCTTTAGATACTGGCTTTCCTCTCCCTGTTACAACATCGCTACCTGTTTGAGTCTGCACTGCACACGGTGATTTGTGTGTGCTGTCTCAGGCATAGATCTGAATTAGAGGTCATCTGCAAATCATTAGCGGGATTACTGCCAGGGTACAGGCAGGGAATGAGAACACCTAGGGAGGAGAAGCTGTCTCTAAAAACAAGTGGCAACCAAAGCGTTTTAAGGAGATGTTGGAAGATGGGGAGTATATGCCCTTTCCCTATTACAAGCATACATATACATGCACCATATTACCCACTTCGTGATCAAGTTAGGCAATGCCGCTGTGTCAGAATTTTTAAAAGTAACACATTTGGACTTATCAGCAATGGAGAAGCATCTTTTCAATTATCGGTATTCTCTGACTTTAATAACAAGTCAGAAACCCTGTCCCCAAGTTTATTTGATTCTTAAGGACATTAAGTTTCTCATGAAGATGACATATTCCACATAAGAAGGTGACCTGAATTTAGGAATCAGGTTGATCTTTATATGCCCATACCTCATCTGTAACTTTCTAAGACTTAAAAACTTCACTTTGCTATTAACATATCAGTTTAGTTCAAGCTGTGACTAAAATTAACCAATTAAGAGCATCTTAAAAGAAGTACCTCTATCAGAAGATCCCGATGAAACTGAAAGTTCAGGTGCAAGTTTCCAAGCAATGGGAGAGGAGTTGGTCCAGGAGGGAATTGCTTGCATGCCTTTCGCAGTTTGAAAAACTCAACGATTAACAGAAAAATGACGAGGACTACAAAAGCTTGACTTATTGTCAGCATTTCAGAGCTGATTTATCAGCTTGTCTTTATCAAAAAGAAGGTACTGGAGCTTGGAAAAGGTGATCTTCCTTCTTGTTCCACCAGTTCTCTCTGCAGACTGAGTCCTGTAAAGCCTCGGCTCCTTTCCCTCCCTCTGTCCCTCCCTCTTTATCACTGCCTGCCCTTTTCCTGTGCCCCATCATTTCCCATACTGAGATACATCAAGCTGATCCCTGACCAAAAGCATACCTAGGTGGCTACAGCAAGCCACAGTATGACAATGTGTCATCGCTTGTACTCAAAGTATTCATCCTGAAGCTTGTGTTGGGGAACTGCTGGTGTCTATTGGGAGACTTGGATCAGAATCACACCAGGTGAGAGCCCTTGTTGACCACTGGACAGGAGATGAGTGGAACTCAGCTTCATCTGCCTTGGGGACTTTAAAAATACGCATTGTTTTTCATCTCAGAATCACTGAATTCAGATTATGTGTGTTATGTGTCAGTTACACTAGGTTAGATTTTCCAGGTGCTTTAGTCACAAATATTGTTTAACTTACCTTTAAGTGTGGTTGTAAATTCAGATTTTCCTGCCAGTACACACAGTTCACACAGACAAAAACAACAGTAGTTGCAGACTAAGCATGCAGTTAGAAGACACAAATGTTACACATAATTTCTGAAAATTTGGCCTTAAGTGTTCAGTCAATTTTTTTTTCCAGTAAATGGAAAAAATAACAGTTTCATCAACTGAAAATTAATGGCATGGAGATAATGCTTAAAAACTCACATTACAATTAAATAATAGAAAAAAATCCCAGAATATTAATATTTGTCATGTATAAAAAAATAATTAAATATAATTATATATATATTCCAATTGTAACTATTTTAGATTTTTTTAGTATGTAACCTAATTGAAAGCTTAATTTGCCTTGGTATATTTTCTACATTTTTTACCAATTTCAGAATCCTGCCTATTATTACAAGTTATCAATAAGTTTATAGGACACATCGAAAATGTTTCTCCTGATAATGAAGGGATTCTTTGTTTGAAACACAGACAGAGGAAAGCACTGTGTATCAGTTACCAGAGGATCCTATCTTGCATTGCAAAGAGAAAGTGTCTTCACTGAAAATGAAGTACAAGTCTGAACAAGAAATTGCCCTGCCCTCCAACACATACATAAATGTGCTATTTTGCAAACCTGGCAACGTTAAGAAAGCAATGTGACTCAGTGATAGCAATCCATCTCCTTCATTTGGCCAAACTTTGCAGGTATTGTAGGTACCTACATGACTGCATTATACAGTGAAGACAGCACGGAAAAGGTTTATGCCCTTACCTGTGCAAAACTAATGAGACATTGTGGGCAGCATGTGTGGGAAGGGGGCTGAGGTGGGCTCCATAGCTTTGCTAAAACCAGTGCAAGTCAGACACAACTTCCCACTGTGAGGCTGAAATGAGAAAAATATAAAATCAGGGGAGAAAAAAAGTTTAAAATTTTGAAAAAAAAAAAAAGAAGAAAATTAGTTTTGTGCAAACAGCTGAAGTCAGAAGAAATGCCGAATTACATAAATTTCATGAACAGACTAAATACAATCATAGTTATTTCTTACCTGTTTGGTCCATATTCCATTGCTTTGTTTTACACATTTCATACTTGGTGTAGTACTTTGACATCAGTAAAGGAATTGACCTCTTTCAGAACACAGGCCAGATTTGACTGGAATCAAATCACCAATGTCAGAAGCAGGACAAAGCCAAGTGAGCCAGCCAACAGTTTATCCTACCAGATGTTACCGTCACCTTTCTTTTGTCAGTGTCTTCAGAATTTTCCAACTGTCTGAAACCCAGATGCATGAATAGTTACTTACACCAGTGCCTGATGTCACCAGGTAAGCTGTACTGGAAACAAAACCAGGAGGGATCCGAGCGGACTCAGAGGGCAAGAAGAGCATGTTGTAAAGAAAGCTATCAGGAAGACGAAGTTTCAATAAGATTTTTAGCAAACATAAAATCACACCATGAAGTAAGTTTCAGACAGATAAGTACAACGCTTGCAACAGTAAGGCTGTGCAGGTAATGTGACAATCAAACAAGCATAGTCCTGATATCCTAGAGCAAGAGTTTAATTTCAGCTCTGGGACATAGATACTTAAATACTAAGAATAAACTGTAACACATTTGGTAAGAGGGAATGTCAGGAATTAGGATCTCCAAAGCACAAGAACTGTTCATAGATTGGGAACAAAGTAGCACCCAGTTGCTTTGAGTGAAGCTTCAAATACACAATATTTAGAAGCAGAAATTGCACAATACATTGCTATGCTTTTTAACTTCTCACCCACAATTAGCTTCAGAAACTTGCGAAATTCACAAGCTGGGATGTGCCTACTAACTGGGACCATTAAGGCTGGACTTGAGGTGGCACAAAGAGTGAGAAGAAAACAATGTATGTGACCTTAATATCCCAAATAATAATGGGAAAAGACAACAGAAACAGCCCTGGCATCCCTGAGCCAAATTGCTGCAAGAACTTTTCTTGCAGAGAGTTTGCCAAAGAGAAGAGTAATTTGATGTTTTCTGGGTGAAATTACCGGGAACTGGATGATTCCTCTATATAAGGAATAGATTAACGAATTTTTCATGATGCAGGAAGATGACACCTGAGATTGTGTCCATAATTTCTGCATAACAAATCTGAGGATGCAAACAAAATCCCCCAAAGGGTTAAGAAAATCAACAGGAAATGCTGAGTAAAGAAGATATTAGAGGATAAATTCTAAAGTCTGACAGAAAAACAAATTTCCATTTTTACAAAACAGGTTGAAATCAACATTCTGACATTAGGTTCCTTTTTGTATGACAATAGGCGCTGTGCTATTGCTGCTAGTAAGTGAGGATGCACAGACCTATGGGGGAAAAATTGAAGTTCAAAGTCGACAAATACCATCTTTTCAGAAATGTTTAAGAGAAGCACTGGCAAAAATGTGGCAAAAACTGTAAAATGCAATGCTGATGTTACCAGCTGGAGCAGTTTATCAGCTCAACCTCTATCAGTGATTTCTTCACAGCACTTCTGATGGCTGCCAAGAATAAGGAAAAGCATGACGACAAGACACTCGGCTGCCAAGAATAAGGAAAAGCATGACAAGACACTGATGGCAGAGCACTTTTGAGTCAAGCTAAACAAACAAGCTCCACAAGAGGCTCCCACAAAGTCTGACAGAAATTAAGCACCCAAAAGTGAGTCATAAGAGCTTGTCACAAAAAAATACACCAAAGTTAAAATCCAGGAGAGTTGCAATTAAAAAGTGAATGGCTGGGAAAGTGTTGAAAGCTTGTACTGACCACAGGTAAAAATTATTTTCATTGACATAGGAACAGGGAAAAGCCAACAGGACAAGAAAAAAAGTTGTGTTTAGATACCAAAATAAAGATGCTTAAAAGTTCACAACAATTAGCAAAACTCACAAGTCAAAACCCCCTAGGATATCATTGTACATGGGATAAAGGAACTGGACGAGGCAAAGTTAAAGCAAGAACAGTAGCTGACTGCCCATGGCTTTCACCCTAAGAAAAACCAAAGAAAGCATTATGTACCAAAAGGTATTCATTCTACAGTCTTAAAATTTCACAGATTAAAGGAAACAATCTCTATCATAAAATAGATTAGTTACTTGGTTTCTTTATTTGAAAATATTACAAATCTGATTGATAAAGCAATAGTATTGAAGTTACATTACTTATTATGTTTTTCAAATACCTTAAACCATTAATTTAAGAAAAATCTAAAAATGTTGTTTATAAAGCTTGCAAATCTCAAGATTGAGAGATCAGTGAAACTCAGGAAGCGAGATCGTTGACAGAGATGGCGACCATTGGGTCAGTTGTAGTGCAGTCAGATGTAAAGCCACACAACACACAAAGTAGTTTGTCCCAAGGAAAGTGGGAAGACCAAGAGTTAGATGCGATCTCCTGGAGCTTGACACTGAGAAGTGCAGAAGTCTTGGCACCACACCTGCCTCAGCCACATACAGGTCAAGGACTAATGAGTGCCCCAGCCAATCTCTTTGAGTGAAGGATCAAAAGAGGATTTGGAGGACACATACCTTGGCATGCCTGATCAACAGACCATAAGTATGTCCATTTGCACCAGGGACTGACAAACTCTGACAGAGCAGAACAATGGGCACCCTCCAGGATGAACAGATTGACCTCAAAATAGTCCCAAATATGAGAGGATGGCTCTGAGGATGGTATTACCCTCCTACTCAGGTCTTAGCAGTCTGAAATGACCTGGTCAATCTGTCTTTGTGTTCAGCACAGACGTTTTGCAGAGAGCGCCATTCTCAACTGAAAGCACCAGCTCCAGGGAATGACTTGACATAGCTACATCTTTTCAGCACAAAAAATGACAATAATATTTGAGATAGATCTCGACTGACTTAGGATGGTTAGATCCGTCTTACCCAGCAGGGAACGCTGCAGATGAATGTTTCACTCTTAGCATGTTCATCATCCGGTTGACTGCAGATAGTAAGCTTGGCAGATACATGCCTAGAACAACATAGGCAGGAATGTGGTCCTCTGACTCAAACAACAAAGCAATACAAAGCCCACAGCTTCCAGAAAAGCCATATGCAAGAGGAAGCTCGAAAGGAATAAGCACATAGAGAAGAAACACAATTTTAAAAGGGATGCAGGTGTATGTAGCGGTGGTTGCAAAATGAGAAGCAGCTTTTAGAATAGGAGAAGACTTGGAGACAAAGGTTGCGGCAATGTACAACAGTGAACAAACAAGATAATGAATAAGGGTTGCAAGACTAAAAGATTGCAAGACCAATATGACCCCCACCCTGTCTTTGTCTTTAAACAATTCATACATTCAAAGTAAGGGCATCCAGGAGTTTACAATGCATATTCTTCTAAACCAGCATTAAAAAACAAAACCCTCAAAATATTAGCACTGACCTATAACTCCAGTGTACTTTATACAATACTAAAAATAAGCAATG